GTTTATTTTAACTTACTAAAATTTTTTTCATTGATGTATATCTAAACAAAAATAATTATTTGCAAGAAATTATTTTAATTTATCAATATATTGGTCTATTGAAATTTTGCTGTAGTAGAAAAAGTGATTTTTTGAACATAAATTGATTTGTTGGAGATAATTTCTCAATAGAAACATTTCTAAAGAAGAAAGTTTTCCGAATGCCCTTTTGATCTCATTAATATACGTTTTAATAGAATTATTCGTATAGAAACAAACATCTTTTGAGTATATGGAACGTAACTTATGCTCTAAATTCTAGTGCTTTGGGGAAAATTAATACTTAAACTTTTATTTCCAATAAATGGTTTCAATTTTAATGACAGATATGAGCATGTATAAAAAAATACAGTGCAGGCCACTGTCGCTTTGAGGACTGTATATCTGATGAGAAGCCACCTTGACTATATAGCGTCATTAACCTTTCTTAAAATGAATACCGAAATTGTATACTTGATAAATGTGCAAAGTCGAAAGCTTTAGCATTAAATTATGCTTATATTTCAAATATTTTACCATTTAACATTAGCGCTACGCTAAGAGACCACATGTTCGAAGATATCCCGCCCTCTACAAAACTAAAGAGAAATCATACGTCACAATAAAATTCTCTTTAGCTTATATCTATGATAATCGTAAGTCTTGTGTAGAAGAAGCCAACGACAAAACTACGATCGTATACGATCGTAAGTTTTCGACCTGGGAAGTTGAAAAAGGAAGTTTTGTTTTATATTACATAAGTGATTCGAGTTTTGATTATCATTTTTCAAGTTACACTTATATCGTTATTGAAGAATTTCACACACATGATGCTTTTATCTCCACTTTTTCCTAAGATAAATATTGACGTTAGTTCTTGTAATATTCTTGTCTGTCTCTCATTTTCAACCTACCTCACGCNGATTAGTGAGAACCTATGGTAAGTATATTGTTTTCTTTTTCTATCTTTGAACAAGTAAAATTTTCTTGTTGAGGTCAATAGTGATACTTTGCAAAGGTTCCCACTAACCTTGTCCGTATGGATTTGAAATGTGAACATGCCTCTATCCTTGGTAAAAAAATGAGCCTGTTTGGTCGAGTTGTAATGAAGATATTCAACTTTTTCTTTGTGGAGTTACTTACTGGACACCCTATATAATAATTGTATCTTTATCATTATTTAATTGTATCTGCTTATTAAATGATGAACAAATCGATATACATTGACATATATATAAATGTTGATTATTTGAAGAAAATCGAATAAAACTTTCTTGTAGCCATATTTGTAACAAACGTTTAAATAAAGGATGAATCAAAAGTTTCGGCTCCTCTCAGTAAATCGATGATATCTATAACAAATTTATATGAAGTTATTGATCAAATTATGTCATTTTGTAGAGAAAGATTAGAGCTATTATCTGAACAAAATAGTTCGAAATACATAAATCTATTACAACCTTATGGTCATTTTACTAATCTTGAGTGAAAATTTTTACGGTACATTGTTTTCAAAAAATGTAAAATCTTTAATGTTTGAATCGTTAAAGTTGAGCAAAATATTATTTTCTACATGTTTTTAATAGACTTTTTTATGTACCTCGATAGAGTTCAACAAGCTCTACAAAAATCTGAATATAAAAAAGAATTCGAATCCTGTTTCCAACATAAAAATCGAATGAAACGACGCAGCATAATAAAAATCTTACATATCTTTCATGAGATAGTATGCTTAAGTTTCAAAAACTTTAGTTGATCGACAGTTAATCGATGTTTTAAGATGCAGTGTTACATACTGAAACTGAAAATAAGTCTTCTGAACTGCCTGAATAGATGGAATAGTCAACCAGCTAAAACTTTAGAACGATTAATTTACTCTCTCTGATATTTGATACATAAAATTTGTATTAGTTTTTCTGATTTTCTTTAATCTTTTTATTGAAAAGAAGATCAAAAGTTTTGTAAACATACATATTCTTGTGGAGCTTGCCGAACTCTCTCGAATCATGTAAAAATATCTAGAATACAATATGTTGCTTAAGATGTTACAACATATGTTGTTTTTTCAAAAAATGTAACGTAAAAATTTTCACCCAAGATTAGTAAAATGACCATAAGATTGTAATAGATTTATGTATTTCGAACTATTTTTTTTTTCAGATGATAGTTCTAATCTTCCTCCACAAAATGACATAATTTGATCAATAATTTCATATAAGTTTGTTATAGATGTCATCGATTTACTGAGAGGGATCGAAACTTTAGACTCATTCTTTAGTAATGACTCGGTATGATTCGAAACTTCCATAAGTTTTTTCATTTCTTCCAATTTTTTTTTCAAGTTGCAAAAGAATGCATTTATTAAAAATGATCATTGTACAAGAGTCGAGAAAACAACAGTAGAAGTGTTTTGAGACAATATCGTATTATACCATTTGAAGAAAAAGAACAGTACATGATGGCAGGCAAAAAAACTCAGTCAATTTCTTTTTTCTAAAACTAGTGAGCAACAAAAAATATCTGTCTTATCAATGAGAAAAATTCAAATAAGTGGAATCTGAATTTTTGTTTGTCGAATAGTCTGTAGTACATAGAATTATTGAATGTCCTTATGCATTGCGGATCGAGTTAAGATTTTCATTGTAGACAGGTACCTGAGTTAGTTTCATGGCATTGTTAAAATAACGAAAACCATTTTCTATTGAGTGTGGCATCATTATCGAATTGAAAAGGGCATTTTATTTGTCTCTTATTCGCTCCACAACCAAATCAAAAGTCTGCTTGAAGAATGTCAACAAAAAGACGTGTACGAGCATAAAACAAAATTCGCTCGCATTACTTCAGCAGAACCGTCACAATCAACGCAATATTGTTTTTCCCCTTTCAAAACTACCAGAAAATTTTCTTTTTCATGTTGTTGGATTACTAATTTAATTAGCATTATGTGCTGAAAAGTTTAGCTCAATGAATGACTCGCGAGAAAATTTGAAAATTTTGTAGCAACAACATTGCCTGCAGGCAATTATTAAAGTAGATGTTTAAACCACATGGCTTGGCACATGACAACATGCAGAACATTGAGAAATCGACATAGAAAATTGTTCATTTACGGCTGTGCATGGTGATAGAACAAAGCTACTCAACGAGTGTTGTGAAGTCATTTTTGTATTCGTCTATGAAATATAGTTGTAATTTACTCAACGTTGTCATTTTCTGCTTCAACATAATTCAGTGTTTGACTTCTTTTATGCCTGAATATTTTTCTCTTCCACATGCTGCTCTTATCGACAGTGCATGAAGCGGTGAAAAAAAAGCTAGGAAGAAGAGAAAGAAAAAAAAAGGATAAAACCAACTATACACTAGCGATAACAGCAAAAAACAAGACAGACAAAACGAAAAGAAACCATTTACACGTGTAAAAATATAACCATGAAAGGTAAAAATGGTATGTTTGCAATTTTCTTCATTTCTTTTTGCTTACTGAGAGTGATTAATAATAAATAACCATCATCGAACACGAAAGAGGCATTCGATATGTGATACATAGAATGGCTAATAGGCTCCAAATATGAGTAATGTGAAATGAGTAAATTTTTCTGATTAGAGCTGCAATCACTTCGAGATGAATGTGTCACGTTTGTTTCGTCTTGCTAATGATAAACAATATATTTTCTCTATTACAAAGAGAATGCTTCGCCTACTGCTCTGCATTATTTGTAATGCTGACTATTTTTATAGGGAACAGGAAAAAAGATTACTTTCACTATCAATGCGTTGCTGATAGTTGTTTGATCAGCAGCTTCGATCGTATATATTCAATCGAGAGGAAATGTTGACTAGGTATTTTTTTTTAACTGAGCGTTAGTGTCACCAGAATGTTGAGGTTTGAAACTGAAACTCTTCATTTGATTTCACCCTTATCAAGTCTAGGTTGGAAGCAATGGTAGATAACATGTCTCAATAATATCATTCTACTTTTTTAACACTGCAAGCAATACAGACGTAAGAAATATTGAGAATTGAGAATTTTGTAATACAACATCATATAACGAATGATGCTTAGCTGAATTGTCTATTGTCTACAGATCAGGATTAATCAGTAATGATATTGAGCAATAAATTTAAGCAAAGCTTTTTATAACTCATCGATTTGTGTGAGTTTAAGGTGCAAATAAAACTGATCAATACATACTGTTCAAACGATACCAATATTTCTATTCGTATTGGTTCCATCACCGACAGCTCATTAATAAAGTTCTCGAAAGATTAGACATTTGTTTGCATGTCAATTTATTTTTCATATTTCGTTACACTGAAGTCGTTCGATAGTTTTCTAATGTTGCAGAACATTTGCTTCAAAGAATTTATTTCTTCATTTATTTGCAGATACACAAATGGAACCGACAACACCTTCCATACACGACGATAAAAGTAAGCATTATTGATCTTTTATACTTTATTAGAAAAGCTTCCTTTGATATGACACATTGAATTGAAAGATGTCATTCAATAAGTTTTGTTACTTAATCAAATTACATGTATTTTGCTTAAAACAGGCAAGCCTTGGCTCAAGTGCCAGTTCCACGATGCTGATAAAACATCCATTAAGAAACCTGATGAGTTTGAAATCAGTGAGAAAGATTTTGCGCCACTGCAAGAAATCAGTCCTAATGTAGTGGATCGTATTCAAGGTTCGATGTTTGGCTTGGCTGTGGGTGATGCTCTTGGTGCTCATGTGGAATTCAGACCTAACAGTTATTTAGTTGCAAATCCCGTGACAGACCTAGTAGGGGGAGGAACATGGGGACTACAACGGGGACAGGTAACGAATCTAATTATACGAAGTATATAGCAGTTCGATTTTGTAGTTCACCGATGACACTTCTATGGCGCTTTGCTTGGCTAATTCACTGATTGCTTGTCGAGACTTTATTCCATACGATCAACTAGTTCGTTATAAGTGGTGGTATCGGCATGGGTACATGTCATCGACCGGTCATTGCTTTGATATTGGTGCAGCCACTCGGCAATCAATTCAAGATTTTGAAAAGCGTCAAAACAAGTTTGCACATGATCATGATATTCTCTTGGATCAAATGGATTCTCTATCTGATCGTGATCTTCTTCAAGCATTCGATGTACATTGCAGCAAAGATGGTGTGGCTGGTAATGGAGCTTTGATGCGTCTTGCACCTGTACCACTTTTCTTCTATCGACGCCCAGAACTGGCTGTTGACTATTCGGGTATTAGTGGCCAAATCACCCACGGAGATGAGAAAGCATATGATGCATGTCGTTATTACGGAGCACTAATTGTGGCTGCTATTCAAGGTGAGGATAAAAAGAAACTGACTAGCAATACATTTTACGATGATCATCGCGAGTGGTTTGGTAACAAAAAACTTCATTCTGATATTATGACGATTGCTCAAGGTTCGTACAAAAAACAAGGTGGATATCTAGATGGAATTCGAGGAAAAGGATATATTGTAAATGCTTTGGAAGCTGCTTTATGGGCCTTTTGGAGTGATGGAGACTCATTCGAGACAGGTGCACTAAAAGCGGTTAATTTGGGCGATGATACAGACACAACAGCAGCTATCTATGGTCAATTGGCCGGTGCTTACTATGGCTACATGAAGTTGCCAGACAAATGGGTGGAATGCATCTATGCCAAACATTTCATTCTATGTGTCAGCAGTTGGATCGCCTTCGAAGGAGAAAAATGGTTTATAAATCAAACTGCACCAAATACAAGGGAACTAATAAATTCTACTCATCGTGATTCGCTCATTTTGAGATCGATTATCTCGATTGTTCCAGCGTTAGAATCGCAGCTAAACCGAAAGACCTCATTAGTTAAAGATATTACGTCAAATACCCTTGTGCGCAAAGCAGTCACTCCAGAAGGCCGTATAGGACATTGCTATGATGGACACCAGGATTGTATTTTAGAATCGCAAAGTATCAACTTAACTATGAAGGAAGACTACTTATATCCACCAATAAAATGTGAGATAAAATGTGGGGACAAGCTGGAAACTCAAAATCTCCTTCGACTCATCGATTTTTCTACTGACCTTCGATTGAGTGTGTTATCGAACTTGGTTGCAGCAGCCGGTATTGCTTTAATTGTTGATTATCCATTTGCAATTGACGAATGTACTCGCATCTTCTATTATTCATACCTTGTTCGAAGTCAAGCATTAGTTGACGAGAGAAGCATCCAACAACAAACGTGTACAGCTCCTGCCACTCATGTCATTACCGCAGTAGATTGGGGCATTGATGTTGTCGTTCTCCTGAGATTGCCGCCTAATGATACAAAAATGATCGATGCCACCCTCCGTAAAATATGTCAGTGCATGAAGCAGGAGACGGAACTAATTATTGATGAACAAGCACTGGATGGAATTCTTTCTACATATGTCTATTCGAATAGGCCTGATTTGTTAGATCAGTCTACATTGCTCAGTGTGTGCCAAACAATTCAGAACATCAAAACTATTCCTGCTAACCAACAACCTTGCAACTATATTCTTCATCCAATCAACATCTTTTATTCAGATGGACATGCAGAGAATATCACATTTATTCCCATCGAGCCAAGAATCGCAACAAAGCTTGAAGACCATTGGCTTCGATTATCCTGTGTTAGCAAAATGTGGGAAACATTTCGAAAAAATACAAATTCCGATATTTTGGAAACTAATCTAAAAGAACAGTTCGACGCGATCCACACTAGAGTCTCAAAATTAATAAAGCAATATGATGAAGAAAAGAAACAAGGTGGATATTTGATTTCACGAATACGTCAAGGCCAAGAGCCGCAAGAAGCTATTGAACGTGACCTACGGATCGAAGAGGAAGACACGAAGTTGAAGCGGGTCGTCGACAATATAAAGCGTGACCTGAGAAATCTAGAAGAAAAACAGGATTTTATCATTTATTTGAAAAACCAAGGGTTTGATTACTTGAATGCCGATAGATGTGGTATCAAACAAGGTGATGATGAAAATGAAATCCGAAGAAAATTAATTAAAGATGGGCAGCGACAACGCATACTGTGCTCAAATGACAGTTTAAACGCAGCGCATGAGTCGCAACTCCAAGACATATTGACATTGATGGCTACTGAGCGTGCAGGAAACCCTGAGTTGAATCTAGTTTATATCGATTTCTCCTATTGTTCACACGAGCTAAATATGATAAAAACGTTTCCCTCAACGGACTATATTCCAACGGGTGGCGTGCGCGAGTCTGTTATACACACAACGAAAAAATCGGACTATCGCTCAGCTGTGCCTTCCACTGATAAGATGATCAATATTGTTCTAATAGGTAAAACAGGAGTCGGAAAATCAACGCTAATTAACACCATCGCCAACTGTCTAAAATTCAATACTTTCTTAGAAGCTCAATCGAGTAGATCTATACTGCGTGTGTGTGTCTCATTTATGTTTCCGTTTATGATGGAAGAAGAACCACATTTCATTCTACTCGGCAGTAACGATCCTAACGAGGATGCTAATGATTCTGATCAATCCACAACTCAGCGTTGCAGATCGCATACATTCGATGTCGGAAATGGGCAACAATTATGCATCATTGATACTCCTGGCTTTTCTGATGTACGCGGTCCGACTCACGACGAAATAACGATGCAGCACATACTGTCATATATCTCAAACCTAACGCATTTGAATGCCATCTGTGTTCTGATAGAGTCTGGTGACTCTGAGCTCACTGCTTATTGGGAGCCTTTAATGCAGTTGCTCAATTTTCTTGGGAAAGAAGCACATGACAAATTTGTCTTTTGTTTCACTAAATATCTATCTATCTCGAACGATGAAAATGAAAGAAACACTCGAGTTCAATCACTGCTCCAATCGCTTCCGCTTGGCGAAATCGATTGGAAATACGAGCGCATACTTGTGTTTGATAGTACTTACTTTCTTCATTTGGCTCGAGCACGTTGGCTTGATCCTCATGCGTCACAATGTGAGCAGAGCTGGTCAATTTCAATGAAAGGAGTAGAACAACTAATGCATTATGTTCGTCAAAGCGAGTGCCCATATCTCGTACATCAAGGATTACAACAAGTAGAATATGCGCGGCTGGAAATCTTGCAGATGATTCGTCCAATAATGGAATCAATGCGAAATATTCTTCGAAATCGAATTTTATACAAATTAAGATCTTCGTCAAAATGGATCGAGTTACATCCGAAACCTATCCAAAGACCTTCAGCCATATGCTATGCATGCCAGCGTCCAATCCGCCAATATAATAGTTTTTGGATCAACTGTGATTCTTTACACGAATATCGAAATCACTGTGAACATTGTTTATGTGAGCCAGAACAACATGTCCAGGTTGATTATCAACTTGATTATGAGTCAGTTGAGAGAGTGAACTATCAATTGCATCATTCGGACGCTTGGTATCAAAAACTTTTTTCTGCAAGCGTGCATTTCGGTCATTTCTTCATACATATTGGACACCATTCGAGCGGTGACCTTTTCTTGGCCAGTCTCAATCGAATGATTTACGACGAGAATTACATTTGTGACACTAAATTTTATCACGATTTCAATTTGCAGTTACTTAAGAAACTTTTAGAACTCAGAGTTGATTATATAGATATCATGAGGCATATGGAGCAGACACGTGAAGACAACGATTTGACGATTATTCATCATTACATCGACCATGTGAAGGATATTCCGATGGTACAAAAACAACTGAATGCCGCTAAAGGAATAAAAGACAGCTCTGTATAGACATGTCGATACTAGAGACTAGTAGCATAAACTATCGAGTTACTGTCAATGCTTAATTAAGATTTTTAAACTTATCATAATAAATTAATTTTTCGTATCTTATATCAATTCCTACCATTATGTATCTAGCCGACATTTTACTATACCGTCTTCATAAATAATGCGAAAAGAATAATACTAAATGCTGAACAATGTTTCCATTCAGTTCCATGAAGCGATAGGCCTGAATCTCTATCTATTGAGAAGAATAAACTCTCCACTGTAGGATTTATGTTGAGCAATTTTTTGCAATGTGGTACCTCGATGGTAGAAGGTAACAGAAAAAACTTCTCTCGCAAAAAATGTCCATTACAAGGCATATGATACAACAGCAATAAAAAGGAGAAAAATCTACTAATGTGTTTCTGATGAACGAAAGATATCAAACTCTTTAAGTAGAAAGACCAAAGTCTTGTATTCAAGATGCATTTTGAGAAAAAGATCTCCGAAGAATGATAATGTGCAAAGTGCATTGCCTCTTCTGAATTTTCATTCTGACGAAATAAGTCAGTGGGTGCAGTTGGGTTTTCTATTTATCTACCCACATCCATTTGAGGAATTTCACCAATTTTTGCGACTTCATGTGTTCACAAGATGTTCATTGCGAGAGACCAATCTGTTCAGTCCATAGTTCACGTTTTTTGGCATTGCTTGATATATATTTGATGCCCCGATGAATGAATATATGAGAGCTATTGTCGATTTACATTGGTCGACCACCTGTATTTGAAGTTCCAGTCGATTATTATGAATTCTGTGAATGTGAGTGTTAGCGTGTAACGCTAAGTAGTTGTTCAGCACACTCACACGAAAGCCAACATTCATACGCATTCATCCTATCATCATTCAGATTCACATCCACCAACAACAACCTGAGTCAATCGGTTGACTCAAATAGCAACTGCATTCAATCTTCTATTGTTATCAGCGATCTGATAGAGTGGATGGCGCAGATGTACGGGTAAATGAATGTGACTGGATAAAATGCAGATCCATACCAGCTCTTTCACAATCATCCATACTCACACCATTATTGTAGTTTTTTTTGGAACCGTACTTTATATATGAAACTTATAAATAAGAAACGAAATTTTTAACTTGATACAAGTGATATCAGTTTTTAAAAGTCTACTTGAAGATGTAAAAGGCATACATGTAGATAAGGCCACGGATAGCATTATTACAACAGATTTAGAGGCTATGGTCGTTGTACATTTGATAGCAGACCCCAAAATGACTGATCAACTACTGGAATTTCTTGAAACTGTTTAACATACTAGTGCCTACTTTGAGTTGGCACATTTTTTGGACAGATATTGCAGGATTTCAAAAATGACGACTTCGAAGAAACTCAGTGTTGAGCAATTGCTAAATACCTCACAGCATAAACATATCTCAATGTTTATATTCAGCTGCCTAGGCATTTAGTCAACTATGAAGTCTTCAAATTATTAAACTACAGTATTAATAATTAATTACAGATTTGGCGTAAATAAAATGAGTTATTGTTAAATATTTTAATATATTAATGGATTTCTTCTGTAATATTTCTGACCTAGCTAAAAAATACGAAAATTAAGTTCGAAACTTTCTAATTCCCGTTTAAAACAGTAACTGTTAACCCTTAGTCTCTGGTGCCCCGTTTATTAAAGATACTAACCATCTGAATAATAGCACAGATAGAAAAGCAAGAATAGAGTGAGATATAAAACTGAATACACTACTATGTAGTCATGAAGACTGTCTAAGGACGAACTGAGACTAGATTTCTGGCAAAAAAGAGGGAGAAAGTGCTGTATCCGATAATACAGACGCTATCATCATAAAAGAGTGTCAAGACTGAACTTTAATAAGATACATAGAAGTTACCAAACGTCGAAAGTATTTAGGCGGAAGTTAAAAGCCGAAAATATGCCAGCCTAGCAAAATCGTTGACAGTACATAATGTTGAAAGCTCCTAAATGAACAAGTCTAAACTACATCCAGATTTTTATGTGATTAAATGCAAGGTTCAGTCTTTAAAAGTTGCACATAAAGACAAGAAGTACCAACAGTACGTAACACAGTTCAATAACTTACCCAGAGATAAGTTTTGTTTCATCTGTATCCAAGACACTAGCAGGTGCTTGAGTAAAAAATATGACAAGAGACTAGCGGACAGAAAACTATCTTACATTACCAATTCTATGTCTTCCAATTGGAAACAATTAGTTCCATTGAATATCGACAAATTTCTTTCAATCAGGTTTCAGAAATGATTTTCAGAGTACAGTTTCAACGAAATTCTGGCAGGTACTTTCTTCAATTCATCAATACGCACCCAAATGTAAGTCTCGGTGGATAAGAATAAGTGCGAATGACTGTATTCTCTTCATTCTATATCTAGTAATTTAAACGTCTAAAAAACTTGATTGCGGATTTCAGGACTGAGGCATAGTGCATCTGAAAGAACGTAGTCAAACACCCGCTGTTCAATTGTTTTCATGTAATGGAAGCTTCCCAAGCAGCAACTATAAAGGATGTGAGAAAATGCGGTAGTAGTAACAGTTTAATTGCTGTTTCTCTACAGAATTCTTTATTTTACCATTTCGTTCCGGTATGTTAGATTGCCGTAACAGTGGCGTAAACATGGTTTATGAGCATGCCCTTTTAGTTGCACTATGCCTTGATCCCAAAATTCATAAACTAAATTTTCTGATTTGAGGTAATCTACGGTTTGGGGGGCACAAAATCAATAATAATGGATGAATTCTGTTGATGCATATAGCTGTAGTGATGTGCTCATCGAATTCTACGAGGAGTGTTGTAGAGAGAAGGAATTGAAGAATCATTTTTTTTCTCATTTACACTGAGAGTTCACATGGTTTTATGCACAATTAAAATGGGCTTGAGTCTTTCAGAGACCAAAATTGAGATATCGACAGAAGAGGATACACTTTGTATTTTCCGTCAAAATTTATTTAGATCAGACGATTAAGATGATAGTTTTTTTTACAAATTATGACTCTATCTGTAGAATTAACTACTTCGAAGACCAACTCACTTGGGTTTGGCGTGTGGCTGCAGATGCATTGTACACCTACATCTTTCTTGTTCCTGCGAATCACACTTTCAATACAATGTCAACCCAAATTCATATTGAAGACTAATGCTGAAATAAATTTGTCAATAGTTTCAATTCATTTTCTTTTTTTACAACACGGAAAAAAACTCTTGTATCTAACATTTTCTTCGTTTACTTTCAAACCAACGATTGCTAAGAGTTATTCTATAAGCAATGGAGTGAAGAGTGTCAGTTGTGTTTTAATTGCCACATGACAACAAATGTGGATTTTTATACTGTCTACTTCAGTGAATAATATTTACTATTAATTTATCAAATGTAAACTTGAAATTTCGTCTGTGAAACTACGAGACTAGCCAGTCCATAGGAGACACACAATAGCTATGAGACCTGTTTCGCTTTTAGAACTAATCGAAATAATAATAAGTGACGACGGAATTCTCTTTCTATCAGTATAACACATATTTTATCGACTCTTTTCGACTAACTGATGGAATCAACATCTGAAAATCGTTGTCCATTGAGCAATATTTCGAAAAAAAGGAATGTTGTCTGCAGCTAGTATAACACCAAACATGCAATCAGATAGTTCGTCTTTTTTAGTACCTATACGGACGAAAATCACTTCACAAAAGCGTAAGCAACACAAAGAAAGACAGCCAAGCAATTAGTAGCGCAATCTTCGAATTAAAAAGGAAAAATAAATGCAAAGAGAAGAAATTTAACAAAATAAATCACAATAAAGCTTTACTCTTCTATTCACAGACCTAAATATTTTATATATTATTTTATCAATTACATAGCAGCAGAAACAAGGAGGAGAATAAGGAGAATGTTTCTCACCATATAAATGGTTGCCATGTTTTTGAGAAAATTATTCCTTTCTCATCGAACAAAGTCCACGATTTTCATGACCAGAGTTTTGATCACGTTTTTTGTTCACAATTGAGCAAGCATCAGCATCTTCCACATCGCAGATCAACTCACTTCGATTGTGCTATTACTGAACATCTAGTCGAAAATGACCTAACGCTCGCTCTTTTAGAAATACACGTGCTGTTGAATGCGCGATCTAACATCTGTTTATTGACATAACTGAACTCAACGAAATGTTGCATAGAAAATAAATCTTTTTCATATCAGGAAATATATTTTCATCTTGATGATATAGTTGAAAGATAAGTTTTTTCGTATTTATGAGTCTTACATTATGAAATAATCTTTTGAAAGATATCAACTCATAGCTATTGTTGATTTTGAGCCACGACCACTGCAATATATCTTATCATATCACAAGAGCTCATTAAAATCTCTATTTGTACTTTATGTGTGTACTTGTATTTGTACTGCAGTTTTATAAAATGCCGGCACCATAACCATTATTATTCAATCTACTGTAAAGATTAATGCATTATAAGCGATCAAAAAATATGGTTAATTACTGGAAACGGCTTGTGACTTTATTGTCATTGTCAACATAAATTATAACGAAATTGAGATTCTTGGCATCCGCTTGTCAGAGTTTCATCATCTTTGGTCTTAGAATATAAGTTTGATAAACTGAATTAGGATTCATATAGTGTGGACGGCAAAACTTCAGAATCGAGCATACTTTTGCTTAGTAAAGCTGATTCTGCTGCGTTCCCATCAGTTCGAATGAAATGGGACCACTTTTTCGACATTGTTGATTTTGATATTTTCTTTGCATTTGCCGATTTGATTGTCTACTCGATGATGGAGACTGTGTGAAGTGAATAAACGAGAGAGAAAAATAGAAAAGTAAAAGCAACAGCCTGATAGTACATTAAACAAAACAGAACAAACTTAGTGAAATATAGCTTGATATTCTTCATGAAAATATAGTTATAAGGTAGTAGATGAAAAACAAACAGTTATGTAAATCCTAGGTAGTTATTTTCCCCAGTGGTATGCATAATGTACTATTTTCGCGCTGTGATTTACATCATGATTGTATTCTTCAGCGGACAATAATGATATTCACCGATTTATGTAAATTATTTTTGTGTTTGTGGCATGAAATCATTGTTTTGATG